TTTTATGATATCTTCAAACATATATTTTATTCAAAAATAAAAACATCATCGCTTTCTCAAAATCACATAAAGTCATATTATAACATCGACTGAGATAAATAATAAAATGAAATATTAAAATCATGATGTATCTCGCTGCATTGCGCGAGTACGCTTCTAGTATATATAATATATATATAGAGAGAGAGAGAGAGAGAAATAGTTTGTTTCAAATATAACATGTTGTATTTGTACAACCAATACAACCCAATAAATTAAGATATTTATGGAAATGATAAGAGTTCATTTATTATGATTTGAATATTTATGGAAGATGAATATGGTTCATTAATAATGATCAATACTTTATATTAGAAAACAATCAAAATTTATATGAAACTACATATTAATCAAATGAAATGGACGGTTGAGATTGGGTTGTATTGGTTGCACAAATGTCAATGGTTGTATAATAACCAACCTATATATATATATATATATATATATATATATATATATATACACGCACACCCCGAAATAAAACAATAATCTACAAATATTCGTTTACGTTAAGATGCTAAATGAACATAATAAACATGAACGAACAGACTTAATGAGCTAGAGATCAAGCCACTTGTGAGTGTTGAATCACCTGAGTTTTAAAGAGGTGAGGATCGAAGGTATATAATTATTATTTAAATTTATTTATTTTTATCATCAGTAAACGAACATAAATGAATGAACGAGACATTTGTTCATGTTCGTTCGTTTAACTAAACGAACAAAAAGAACCTGTTCATGTTCTTTCCATCATAACCTTACTTTCCATCACATGTGATCCTGATATTTTATAACCCCACAATGTTATGAATAGAAGAGCTCAGTAGAAGTGATAAAAATCTAAACACATATTTTCCAGTATCAGTATTAAAATTCAATTAAAAACAACAAAATATATTGTTCTATTTTATATTTCAACACATATCATATTGCATCAGTATACGTTTCACTAGTCAACATGAAACATATGTCCACATATAATGTATATTAATCCAGATATCCCATTTTTAATTTATCAGTAACAATAAAAAATGTACAGTTGACTTGAAAGGCTTCTGTCCTTACAACACATCACAGATAATTCCCTCCTTTTTGTTTTACATAAATTCTATAAATCTCTACAAATTTAGTAGACAGTCTTCTGTCATTACGACTCGTTCCACGTTTTCCCCCTAAATTTTCAGTATAAACAAATGCACTATAAATAAAATTGGAAATAAAAATCTATACATTAATAATAAAAAATAAACAATAAATTTAAAATTAAATTCTTAAATAAAAATAATTAATTAAGAAGATATTATATTTTTTAAGAACTTTGTGACAGTTCTAGAAGCGACAACTTCAGATAACAGCAGCAGTTCATTCAATAATATGACTGGTTCAGATACTGAACTTTTAAAGTATATTATAACAGCAAACTTTCCAATATCGAATTTATTTTACGATAGCGACTTTTCCTTTGATTTTTATCGTCATAATATAAATACAAACAAACAGCAAAAAGCGTGGACTAAATGAAAGGTGTACCTTATTTCATAGTACCAGTATTAATTGTCGTGTGGGGCATAAGACACGAAACATATATGTTAAATAACATGTCTGATCAATTTAATTAAAGTTGGATTGACTTTAAAATCGACCCAAATTTTGTGGTTAGTCGTATCATAAAATAATTATCATAGTATAAAATAAAATAAAAATTAAATATGAAATGAACATTAAAATTAAAATTATAAAATAATTGTGGGAACAGATCTTTTGGTATCTGGATCGATTAAATATAATATAAAATATATAAGTTATTAAAAAACTCTGATATACAGAGTTTTTTTGGAAAATTTATCTGTTAAAACTAATCAGATGTTGTTGTATTTCCACTTAATAATTATATGTGATCGGATTCAGATGCAACATATTAAACCTAAGTATAAACAATCTTTAAGTCTAAAAAATTACCCCCAAAAAAAATAAATTATATTAAGGGGCTGTTTGACAGTTGTTGGGTGGTTTGGTGCAGAATGATTAAGTGGTCAGAATGATTAAGAGACTCTAATAATATAATTGTTTGGTAATTTTTTACGATGAAATTAGGGCGCTGAATGATTAAAGAGGCTCAGTATACAAAATCATTCAGATGGTTTTAGAACCATTAAAAGACAAAATTTAAAAATTTGTCAAACAAGATTCAACTCTTAACGATTCAGAAGTTGCATCTTGATAGAACTATTAAGAGGTAAACAAACAACCATTAAACATTAGCTTCAAATTTAACCCTAAAATCCATAGAGCTCGGGTCAAATATACAAAAATTCACCCAAAAAAGCTAGTCCCGAATTAATATGTTATCATGTTAACATCGATAAAAATAAATTAACCCTAAAAAGTTGGCCCTAAATATCTATACTATATTATAAAGCATTTGACAAAAACTCTTAAAAATCATTTTTTATGCATGAAGTACTGTTTATTGATGCATATTACTTAAAATTCAAGATTACAAGTAAATTATGCATAAGTACAACTTATTAAAGTTCGATTTTTGAATTCATATAAATAACTACGGATAAACATAATCAAATAGAGGATAAACATCTAATTTTTAAAATATAAAAAATCTAAAATATAATTAGRATAATTATCGAGTTCTAACAAAATAATTAATTATTATMTWTATAAAAAAATTATATGATTAAACCAAATATAAATTACTTCATTATTGAACCTAAATTAAATTATAACAAAAAAAAAATTACACAAAAAATAGGAATTTTAAATAGTTAATTTTATACTAATATCGATGTATTTTTGTCAAATTTGTATGATATCTTCAAGTTTATATTTTATTCAAAAATAAAAACATCATCGTTTTTTTTTTCAAAATCACATAAGACCATACTATAACATCGACTGAAATTAATAATAAAATGAAATATTAAAATGAATAAGTATCCCTCTGCATTGCGCGAGTACCCTTCTAGTAATCAATAAACCCAAAACCGCAAAAAAAAAAAAATATCAGTTAACCTTAAAATCCAAATATTAACACATATAACAGAAAACAAATTTACCTTAAATATTAACATAAAGTATTATTCATTGAAATTTACCTTTTTTTTATTAATCTGGATATCTAACCCGTTAGGTAGTCCGGAGTCACGAACTTTTGTGACTACAACGAGATTTTTATTTCTCTTTATATTTAAACCTGAAACCTTCAGACACTTTTGATTTTTGGAGCATAAACTCAAACTACTCACACTTTTGTGGTTAAAATTTTATTGTTTCATCAAACGAAAAACGTTTATGATTATATTTATGGTTTCAGTTGACATTAAATATGATTTTACGTTATACGAAAACAAAGTCATGCAACCACTACTTAAAGGTAGCTCCACCTATCTTTGACTTGTCAACAATTTTTATCCAAGTTTTTTTTAAATAATTAATGTATTATATATATATATATATATATATATATATATATATAAAAGAGAGAGAGAGAGAGGGGTTGGTTATTATACAACCCATGATATTTGTGCAACCGATACAACCCAATCTCAACCGTCCATTTCATTTGATTAATATGTGATTTCATAGAAGTTTTGATTGTTTCCTAATATAAAATATTGATCATAATTAATAAA